TTGTATACTTAAATATTTAAATATATGCATAGAAATTATTCAAATAGCGTTCGACCAGTACGAAATGCCAGTTTACCAGTACCGGTTAAACTTGGTTTAACATTAACTCAAATATTTGATATGGTTAATATTAAAGATTTAAATTGTTGAAAAAAAAAAGAAAAGAGAAACATTTGTTATTTTTCAGATAGAAAAAAATCAAATATTGATCACCAATGTATGGCTTGATCAAGAATGGTATTTATTCAAAAATTTTATTTACAATTTTTTTTTTGAAACTAATCAATTTTTCTTTTAGGTTTGATGAATTTCTACAATGGAATCCAGATGATTTCAATGGAATTCGTCGTCTTAATCTTCCGTCCAAACTCATTTGGTTACCAGATATTGTTCTTTATAATGTAAGCACAAGAGAGAAAAAGCAGAACAGAGAATTTATTTCAAATTGATTTTAGAATGCTGATGAATTTTCAAATAGTAATATAATGCAAGTAAATGCAATGCTTATTCATAATGGTAGTGTTTTTTGGCCAATACCAACACGATTCAAAAGTACATGTCAAATTGATGTAACATATTTTCCATATGATGAACAAGAATGTAAACTTAAATTTGGTAGTTGGACTTATAATGGTTATCAAGTATCAATTGAAGAACGTAATTATGCTATTGAATTATCAAGTTATGTTCCAAATGGTGAATGGGATTTATTAGATACATCATATCAAGTTAATATTGTACGATATCCGTGTTGTCCAGAACCATTTCCAGATATAACATTTTATGTTCGTATTCGACGACGTATTTTATATTATTTATATTCAGTTGTTTTTCCATGTGTTATGCTATCAATATTGACATTACTTGTATTTTGTTTACCACCAGAATCTGGTGAAAAAATTGCTCTTGGTATAACTGTTTTACTTGCATTTAGTGTTTTTATGTTAGCTATTGCTGAAAATATGCCTGAAACAAGTGAATATATTCCATTAATTAGTATGTTTTATATTATATATTCATAATTAGAGAATTTTTATTTTTTTTACATTTAAGGTTTATATTTAACTGCAGTTATGGCTATGACAAGTGTCTCCGTAATGATGACTGTATTTGTTCTTAATCTTCATTATCGTGGTCCAAAAAAAAATGAAATACCATTTTGGCTTCAACAATTATTAAGTTTATCATTAAGTAATATTTGTCGTACGTTTAAGAAACCAAAAAAACTCAAAATATCATGTACAAGTAAACAACAAAAACTACATAAAAAAAATATTCCAAATATAAATCAAATTCAACAAACAGAAAATCGTGTACCTGCTAATGGAATTTTATTATCCTATGCAAATATCAATGAAACAAAGATAAAATCAAGAGTAACAACAGATGTAAGTCCATGAAATGATATGTACATACTAACGGCGACACAGAAGGAGGCAACGTGTCTCTTGAAAAATTTTAAAAGTTGTTGCCAGCGGTAATTCCAAAGGAAGTGTGAGAAACCCTCAGGCATTACCCCCTAGTGACGCTGCTCTATGTATGTTACAGTGCTCTATTAAGTTCATTTAAAGGAACTTATCTAGCATACTTATTCAAAAGAAAGCAGATTTACACTTATTGATCTTTCTTGTTTTACATAACAAATAATTCGATAGTATTAGTCTTTTGATGTATAATTGTTTCTTTCCATTCCAAGCATTTCTTTTTTTTTTTGTATATAGAAGAATAATATTAATCTTTTGTTATGATTCATTTGTAGATATGAGATAATCAAAATTTTCTGTTCATGTCATCATTATATTTATGATATTTAAGTTTAAAAAATTTTTTATTCTATACTTTTCTAATTGTAATGATTCATAACATAATTTAATTCTTAGATATATCATTTGAATGATAATTTACGTCTTATTGTTTCCGATGTAGAATTTTTTATTTCATCATAGAAAATAGATTTAGATGAAGTATATGATTCAATTGAAAATAACAAATTAGAGTTTATTAATAGGTTATTTGCTAAAGAAAAGCAATATAGAAATGCAATTGCTATCTAAATGCGTCGTTCTCTAACTATTCATTTAGTTGTAAGTGATATCTGACAAGCTTCTATTAGTTATGGACTCATCTAATAAAAGGAGGAAATTTGTCTTTCAATAAATATATATATATAATGTATGTGATTATATATCAAACCAATATAAATACATATGCCAATCTAGATTTTCATCAATGTACAAAAACAAAATATACAGACAAATAAAAAAAGAAAAATATTGATTGAGTGTAATTTGACATGAATAATTATTTTCCTTTCTTTTCTTAATAAATCTAATATATATGACCAATTCAAATAAGTATATCATTACATTTCAATTTTCTAATAAATTAATATATATATATATATAATTATATTTTTTATAAATATAATAAAAATCGTCTCGTTTTTTTTCTGTTGTCGACGAAAACATGTCTTAATAATGTAAAACATGTAATCTTATTTTTTCGAAAGTTTTTAATCAGATGAAAAAATGAGAATATTAATTTCTTAAGTAATTCTGATAAATTCAAGTCTATTGGAAAAAAAGATCTAATTACATAAATTACTATTATATCGTAGAATAGAACTTTGATAATATGACATTTTATTTTCATAACAAAACATTCATCTATTTTATCGATCTAACATTGTATTAAACTTATATTTTTAAAAATGCATCTAATGAATTTCAATATCATTATATTATCCCAAAAACATAGTAGATGTTTTATAAAATATTATGATGAAAAAAACAATTTATTACTTAGCTTTAATACTAAACGAAAACACTATATTTCCTTCGATGTAATAAATAAAAGATAATTGAATACCTTGTTTTGTTCATCCAAGTATGAATAAAATCTCCAAAAATTCTTCGGAAAATATTAATTTTTTTTGTTATATTGATTTCAATATCATAATTCTTACAAACTTAATTTTTGTATATAGGACTCATAAATGATCGAATGAATATAAGTGTTGTTTTTTATTTGTAGGTAAATTCAATGCAAATAAAGACTGTAAATTCACAAGAACAAAAACAAGCAAAAACACCAAGTCGTAACCGTTTACATTATGAAGAAATTCCAATGAAAAACCGATCAATATCTCGTTCAAGTTCAACAGAAACAATTCAAGATGAAATTCAAGATACTTTACATAGTCTATTATATAAACAGAAAGAACTTGAACATGATCAACAAGTAACAAATGATTGGCGTGCATTAGCAACAAAAATTGATAAAATTTTATTTTATGTTTTTCTTCTATTAACAATTATATCAACATTAGGTCTTCTTGTTGTTGCACCATTATTTCGAACTAATGTTCAACGAAAAACAAAACTTTGGAATGGAACACGTCGACCTTAATGTAAATATGAAGAAAAACAAACATGTTTCTATACTTTTAAATTCATGATTTTGTTTTGTTCTTTTTGTATTTAAATAAAAAACTAAAAAGATATTTTTTTTTTCTTTTTTGTACCATTGTTAAACATGTTCAACAAGATATGATTGATAACTACATTTAGAACATGAAACAATATTTTCATTTGGAATATAAGATGAAGCAGGTTCACAATTGCGGCATACTTGTTTGCTAACGTTTGATTGAATGTAACGATTCGAGATGATTGAGATACAGAAGATATTAATCTATTAGTAGGTGCAGTTTGAATAGGGGAAAGACGTTTGAATGAATGAATATGTGATAATTGCTTTAAACATCCTTTACAAAAGAATAATATAATATAAAATTACGATACAGACAAATTCTAATATAGTAAAAACTCGTGTAAGTATAACATATGTTATTGATAAAAATGTAAAATAAATTGTATTTGATAATGATACAATAATATAGAATTAGTATAGATATTAATTGAAATGTAGGTAGATCAATTTTAATTAAAGCAAAAATTTCTTCTATTATTTATATTTCTTGTAATTTATGAATTATAGTTGAAAGTGTAAATGGATACGACCAAAAATCTGAAAAAAAAAGATTTGTTTTATAGAGATCAACAAGGACATTTATGATTTCTATGACGAGAATAACAAATGTCAAAATCAATTGAATTATTCCAAGAGAACCTATCAAACATAAATTTCAGTATTGTGTCCAATAGTTTGACGATAGTATACGATAAGCTGTTCTTGTCCTACTCTTGCTCTTCATGTAGAATATATGAATAACAATTTTTATGAATATTAATAGAAGTTAAATGTTTTTATGAAAGAACAAAAGAAAAATGATTTCGATCTCTTCGGTCAACTGCCGTCTAATTGCTCTCTAACGGATGATCGGAAAATTGTTCAACAAGATGTTTATTGACTTTTGACCCGCTAGAAAGTATTGTCGTCGGGTTACAATCTATGATTTTGTACTGTCTTCGAATATAGATTTAAAAATTTTGTCTCAATTTTTGTTCGAGAGTAGTGAAATAATCTTTGAAAAGTTCAAAGAAAATTATTTGGACGTCAAATCCTTGTATTTTCACGATTGCCATTCGAAATTAAAATTTCGAATCTTTGCTTTTATATATTAGCTTGTAGATTAGAAGCTATCCTACAAGTAAAATCGACCACTATTTTATGTTAAAGAGAGATCTTGAAAAAACTACTTTGATAAAAGCTACAACTTTGTTCAACGTCATATTTTGTAACAAAGTGTTCACTCTACACAATGATGGACTCCGACAATTTTCAGCATGTTCGAAATAAATAAAAAAACCTATTAGACTTGAACAAAACTGGACGTAATATTTCTAAGCTTATATTCGAAAAGAACATCCTAACTCTTAGTTTTTGAATACTTTATCGAGATTCAAGACTGCTGATTACTCGTTAGTATAAATATGAAAATGCAATTGACAATTTTTTCTTTATCGACGTCATTTGACAAATTATTTCACGTGTTATTTCTATTTCTTTTATTTTTATTTCACATGACAAGAAACAATTTATAGAAAAAATTTTGTTCTCTGTGTATCCATTTTATGTTTCGGTTTATGTATCCATTCATATTCACCATATAAAGCATCAAATGTACCATGTTGAATTGATTTAAGTTTAAGTGTAAATCGTGGACCTAATTCTTGTAAAGCAACTTTTTTTTCATTTTTAAATAAATACATATGATGACGAAAAAATATAAAATCACGTTGATTATGAAATGTAATTATATGACGACCTTTATATTGTGGATCATGAGGAAATAATGCTGCTAATAGACGACCAACACGTATACCAATACGTGTATTAAAATTATTAAGAATTATTTCTGGTCGAACAGTTAATTTAGCGCATGATTTACCACGATTTGAACGTAATTGTTTTGATAAACGAGCACTTGTTAAACGAAATTTCATTGTTGGTCCTTCAGGTAAATGAGTTATGTAAAGAGTACATGGTTTTCCATGATCTTCATTAACAACAAGTAAATCTGTATAACTAAAAAAGATCAAATGTAAAAAGTAAATTGATTGATAAGTTCTTTTTTTAACATTATATTTACTCTAATTTATTCATTTTTTTAATAATTCGTTTAATAGGATGATGTCGCCGTTGAAAATATGTTGTATTTGGTAAAATTCTTGCTAATTCTTTAAGAAATTTATTTGTAAATGATGTTGGAAAACCTTCTTGACTAGTTAATAATAATTTTGGTTCAATTCCATCTCCTTGTCGTGTGAAATAATTATTTAATTCATCATTTGATATATCATCAAGTGTTTCTTGATCATTTTCATCTACCCATGTTTCATCACGTGAACGTTTTTTTTCAATTGTTTTTGGTTCTTCTCGTGGTTCATCTGATTGTTGTCTTGCTTTACGTTCTTTTAATTTAGTTTTGGATTTTGAACGTTTTAATTTAGCATAAAGTAATTGACGAACCATTTTATTTCGAACTTGTAATGTTCCTGATGAAGTTCGTGTTGATGATTCGTCATCTTCATTTGTAGTTTGTTTTGATTGTTTTCGACGAATTGGTTGTTCATCATCGTCACTTAAATCGGAATCTTTTTTACGACGAACCATAATCTTAAATGAATTAGTAATTTATGAAGATCTAAATGATTTTGAAATTTATTTAATAATAATAAGAGAAATTAGAAATGAAATGATCAGATCGAATACATTCTAATATTCTGACAAATGAAATTACTGGTAAAATGTAGAAGTTTTATATTAAACCAATCGATAGCTTTTTGAGATAGATGGAGCTCTTACATACTAATACCATGGTTTCTTATCTTTTTCTTTTTTATAGTCATTAACTAGAACTTCGATGATTCTAATCATTTTTTAAAACTTTTTCTGTCGAGAAGAAAGTTTCAAAAATTCACTTTTTAAAAACTCATTATAGTGAAAATGGGTGTATAAAAATAAGACTCTTCTTTTTTCTTTTAAAGAATCGATTTGCGTCAATTTCGATTTGAAATAATGAAATTTTTAAATGTAGAATAAATCACCGATTTGTTTTTTAATTTTAATTGAAATCTTTTGATGAACAACTTGTTGTTCTTTGAACAATTAAACTCGAGAATCAATAATTCTATGCGATGAAGAAAATTTGATTTATAATTAGAGCTCGGCAGTTCCGAGAAAATTACAATCGGGAACTGAACCGAATCGGAGACTTCCATTTTCTCTTACTCGGACTCAAAACCGGAACTGTGGGTAGTGTAAATCTTTTCCACAATTACTACTATGTCATATGTATGTTCATTTATTTTAAGATAGAGATCTCAGTTTGAAGTTACGTTAGCGTTCTTGCTTCACGAGCAGACTTGTTGCATTTCTTATGTTTCGATTAGGCTAAAACGTAAAAACTAGCTAAAAAGTTTCTGATAATGTATTAGATTAGATTATAGAATCTTCTATATATAACATCACCTTTGTATGAATTCGATATCAGTAAATTATTCATTTATTTACCATACTGAATATTAATCTTTAGAAGAGATAAACAAATTACTTTTTTAGTTTCTTCTAAACAATGAATGCAAAGACAATTTTTACTGTTTTAGTGTATATTACAAATTCATCAAACTGATAGATTCATATTCATTAAATTGAATACTTCTTCATTAATGAAAGAAAGAATTTTAAAATTGATTAAAAATATTGATACAAACAAAACATTTTTGAAGCTGAGAATATGCTCATCATGAGTTTAAAGATATTTTTGGGGAAAAAATATTAGTTATTTTGTATATTATTACTAAATAAAGAGTCTTGAAGATATTTTTTCGGAACCAAAATTGGAACCACTTTCTTGCACTTCTTTTAGTCGGAATCGGAAGTGGATCCGTAGTTCCGGTTACGGCTATTTCTAAGAACTGCCGAGCTCTATTTACCATCATTGTATATCAGAATATTGCTACAGTAGTACTTATTTATCATTGAACATAACTATATTTTTAATAATTATACATCGAAGGTTTTCTTTCGGTAAGTTGATAACTATCGATTGATACTTGACTTGATAGAAGTATCTCTCAATATAAATCAAGAGCATTTTCATTTAATGTATTCACAAAATAGCTTACTCGGGAGTTCGATAATCTAACTTGATTATTGTCAAAAGCATATGTATTTTTGGGCATGTAAAAAACCACTATTTTAATAACAAAAAAGCAAGGTATCTGGAAAAACAAATGATTTAATTCATTGTTGAATTTGTTAATCCTTAGTTACTGATGAGTCATATATGTGTCACAAGCTTTATGATTGCGAGAAACTAACGCAATCACTCATAATGCATGGCTTTTTTGAAATAAACATTTGCATAAAAGTTATCGTCAAGCACCAGGAGATTTAACATCATCATTTTGCCATAACAAATGTTAAAGCCGTACTATAAATAGTTATAACGGTTTTTCTCTGTTCCCAATATGTACTAACTTTTATTCTATTGAAAGTAATGGTAAGTTAGAAGAAATTTTGTATAAACATAATATAAGATACAAAAAGTCATTTTGTTTCTAAAGTCAAATGATTATCAACTGACATGAATAAAAAGTCGAAGAAAAAAAGAAATTATTGGATAAGAATGTAATTATATAGATATTTACATGTGTATCATAAAACCTTTATTCAATAGATAATGAGATATATGCAAATAATTGCCAAGAGACAGAAAATTGTTTTTACTTGTGATAAGAAATAGCCATTATGAATCATAAGTAATATTTCATCGAAACGAACACACTCGCATGATATGCTTACTTTGAGATAGCGGTACATATATGTTGTAGGCAAAATTGAAATCCCGGCAAATTTTAAATTTGCCCAGTCAAAATTGAAATTTTAATTTTGACTAGGCAAAATTAGAATTCTAATTTTGACCAAGAATTTATCAGTCAGAATTAAAATTTCAATTTTGACTGGGCAGATTTAAAATTTGACTAGAGGTTAGATCATTTAAATAAAACCAAAATAATTTCAAGAAATAGAATAAGTTTTTAATATGTTTTTTTCATAAAATGGTTAACAAAAAATCTTTTCAACTATTCATCCATATTCTTACGAGCACCTCGTTTTGAATGACACATTGTAAACCAAAAAACTCCCATTTTTCTACATTCATATGGCTTTGTAGTGCTTAATAATCCTTAATGAAAGGACTGAAATACGTGAAGATGCTTTTCTGGTCTTTTATCTAGACTTCAGAATGCTTGTAGGCGTTCAGTGGACTAAATTATTGAAAAATTCTTCATGCATGCTATAGAAACTGGGAAGTACGTAAGTAGGTACCCGATTACGATGAGGTACTGATATAGTTCCTTGCAGGATACTTAAAAGTTTTTGTGACATACTGATAGCAGGGTACCTTTTGGGATACCTTGAACTCAATACTTTCATTAGGGACTATGAAGCACTACAAAGCAATGTGAATGTAGAAAAATCGGAGTTTTCTGTTTTGCAAAGTGTCACTCAGAACAAAGTGCTTGCAAGAATATGGATGAATAGTTGAAAAGATTTTTTTTATTAGCCATTTTATTAAAAAGAATTAATAAAAAATTATTTTATTTGTTGTAATTATTTTTGTTTTATTTAAATGATATAACCTATAGTCAAATTTTAAATCTGCCCAGTCAAAATTGAAATTTTAGCTCTGACTGATAAATTCTTGGTCAAAATTAGAATTCTAATTTTGCCTAGTCAAAATTAAAATTTCAATTTTGACTGGGCAAATTTAAAATTTGCCCGGATTTCAATTTTGCCTACAACATATATATATATCGTATCGAAGTTACACCGGTCAATGAAGTTATAACTTCGTCGTCTCATATTGACGAAGTTACAACTTCGACAGAGAAATTTGTCGAAGTTAATTTTGACTCATTTCTCAATAAATTATTTACTTTATTGAATATCCTGCTGCTGAATATATAATGAAAAATAATTTTTTTTAAAATAAATATTCATTTATTTAAGATTCTTAAAAAAATTAATATTTATTTAATAAAAAATTATTTTTCATTATATATTCAACAGTAGGATATTCAATGAAGTAAATTATTTATTGATAAAAGAAACAAAATTAACTTCGACAAATTTCTCTGTCGAAGTTATAACTTCGTCACATTTATAGGACGAAGTTGTAACTTCGCCAATATGAGACGACGAAGTTATAACTTCGTCGACCGGTGTAACTTCGATACGACATATATATAGTGAGTACCACAATTATGTAACAAGGTCTATTTTCAATTTTTTTTGGTATCCTAAGTACTAGGAAGAATTCGAATGGAGAGAATAGTTTTCAAAAGAAATCTAAGGAAACTAAAAATGATTATCAGATTCTCCAAGACAGGGACTCCAGAAAACTAAAAGACTAGTTTTTTAACAGCTAGAAAGAATGAATATAATCTTGTTTAGACTACATAGAAAGATAGAGCAAACAATTCAATACTATATGAGATGTCTCCGAATTCTCGGTGGTTTTCTTTAGCTGAGATATAGTAATCTTACGGAAGCCTGTTGAATCGTTTTTTTTACTGAAAGAAAAGATATTTTTTGATCTTCACTCAGGTTGCTGTATTTCTGTTAAAAATGTCGCAAAGAACGTAGAGACGTTTCATTTTGTAAAGGATATTTCATCCTATCGTTCTACGTAGTCTAAACAATATTATATTTACGGGCTCTAGATGTTGAAAAAGTAGGGTTCGGGTTTTCTGAAGTCCCTATCATTGCGAATCTGATAATAACTTTTTTTTCTTATATTTTTTTGAAAACTGTTCTCTCTATTCGAATCACTATTTGGATTCTTTCCAACGCTTACGAAAGTAGAAAATTATTGAAAATAAGCCTTGTTAAAGAAGTTTGGTATTCACCATCTATGTGAGTGCTTACCCGAGTTCATACCTATATCTCTATTCTGTTTCATGAAGTTTGAGCTACACATGCCTAAAAAATTTGGTTTTTTTTTACACATAACATACTAATGATATGTTACTTGAAACGAGAGTTTTCAAGTGTTTCTTTCTAAACAGGTTGTTAAAAACTATTTTATATTGATTTGTTTTTCACTCTCATCGATTCCCCATAATTCTTTCACTTTAAGTAGTCTGAAATTGGCTAAATATCCTATTTCTAAATATACAACATCATACATTAATTAGATTTCTCAAATAAATAATTGGTCATAAAACTCAGTTCTAGGAATATTTCATAATATCTCTAAATTTTTAGTAAAAATTTATGTAAGTGAAAAACAACATGATCATAAGATAATACTTGAGAAATCGGACATATGACTTATGGTAGATAAAAAAAACAAGTATTGTAGTATTAGCTTGTATGAACACTTTCATATGTATATTATTCAGTTTTTCTTCATTGTAGTTAGGTTAGCATTATGACAAGTCCTACACGATCTAGTGAAACAAAGAAAAAAATTACTAGGCATGTATCTAAAAGTCCAGAACGTAAATATTCTCCATCAAGACTCCAACCGAACCTATTATTCGAATCAAAAGAATCTGCATATTCAGATCCAATGGATTCTTCTCGTTCATTAAGTAAGTTTTTATTATATATCTTAGCACTTCTATTATCTTAATTATTTACAGTGCAAAATGTGGTATTTGAACGACGTGATCGTGGAAGTTTATCACCTCAAGCGACTGAATTATTTAATTCTCAAACAACGTTCGAAGATGCAGCCGAACGTTCATGGCTTTTTGAAAATATTCGTAGTACAACAATACTGATTAAAGTTGATCAAGTTGTATTCACAATAAATGGAAATTATGCTCTAAGGTTTGTAGATAAATAATAATTATAGTTATTTAAACTGTCAATTATTGATTTAAAAAGGGAAAATCAACCATGTGTTCTTTTTCTTCATGGATTTGGTTCAACAAGAAACTGGGCTAAGTATGATATTAGAATCTCTCTAGATTTGTTTACTTTCTATTTACGATTGTTTATCAATAGTTGGATAAAATTAGCCTATCCATTGAGTCAACGAAATCGATATTCAGTTATTTTTGTTGATTTACCTGGTTTTGGTCAATCAAGTGGTCGTAGTTTAGATCAAACAAGTTGGAAACGATATGGACCTGAAATTCTCATTGCCATCCTTTCAAGTTTTCACATTCGACATTCAGTTAGTGTTGTTGCTCAATGTGGTAAATCTTAAATATTATTTAGATTATTTTATTGAAATATTTATTATAAAATAGGTGGAGCAGCTACAACTGTTCGCACTATTAGTCGGTATCCTCAATGGTTTAGAGGTCGTGGTCTCATATTTTCAAATTCTGTTATTGGTGATTTTTTTGAATCAAAAATTGGAGTAATGAAATTTTCTTTTTTTTATTCTAACATTTAATTTTCTTTTGAACAATTTTTTTGTCTGTGAAGTAGGAATTTGAAGCTAACCTAACAAAATATAATATACATATCGTTGTTTATTGGATTCCTGATCAAGATCATACGAAATCTTGTGTGGTAAGAATTTTATTTTTTATTTTTAATTTGAATAATTTTTTTGATTATTGTTAATAATTAAAGGCATACAAACGATGGAATAAATTACGTTTGTCAGGCTTTCGTAATTTACAATTGGTTGATCTCGATCCAGCTACACAGACGATGAAACTATTCTACCCTGTAATACGTGTCGTTGATATCAGTCGTGGTTCATCAAAAAATGAAGCCTATGTTTATAAACTAAGTGATGAATTTATTCAACAAGTGATTGATAAATTAGATCGAAAATCATAATTATCGAATTGAAATCTTCACTAATTTTTTGTTCTATATTCTCTTTGTATTGATGAGAACATAAAACAAGATATAATAAATTATATATAAAATATACACTAAAGGATAGTCATGACAGATGCATATGTGCACTAAAAAGTAAGGTGAATATCGTTTAAAAATCCTCTTGGTGTATTATGAATATCTGAAAAAAAAACTTTGCTTCCATATTATATTATTGGTCACAGAACTGTTTGTTTCTTTATAAAAAATTACTCTTGACTTAAATGTTAAATAACCATAGCTTTTTTGTTTATTCAATATTTATTTAAAACACTTTCTTATAGCGATTGTGATAAATTTTTCTTTCGAAGTTTTTTAAAAATATTTTCTTGACAAAGTCTTCCATCGAAAGAGTTGAAAGCTAAATTTAAAAAATAGATCTTTGAGAAACAAAACAAGATAGTAACAATAACAACCAAGGAAATGGAAAATAAAAGTCTATAACGCTTTAAAGAAGCATAACTCAAAAAGAAAGAAAAAAAACTTCAGAACACAAGCAAAGAAAAATGTAGATTCATTCGTTCTGTCATATTGTTGTCGCTACCATAATCACCATGCCACTTCTCTTGTGTCAACAAATGTTGATAGAATAAAAAGAATAAATATTGTTTCATTTCAGTTCATTTTTTAACTAGAGTAAAATTGGTTTTTATAATTATGGCTGAAAATTCGAAGAGTTCTAAGAAAAAAAAAGTATCAAAAAAAATGACAAAGAGTTATCAATCTGATGAAGAAAATTCTGAAGAAAATAATGAACGCGTTTCGGAGATGCAACAACAACAATTACTATTACAACAATTACAACAACAGATACAACAACAAGAAACTTATTATACAGAAGAAGATATTCCTGAAAAACCTTTAGCAAAAGCACAAAATATTTTCCAAGAAAAAGCACCAAAAAGACTGACAAAAGATAGAATCGAACGTGAACCTGTAGATTCGTATAAAAGAAAAATGCCTCAATCATTACCAAATATGTTGCCTGTTGAACAAATGACTAAAGGAAAAAATATTTCTGCAAAAAAACAAACATTTAATCCAAAAATGTTTGAAAATGAAGACAATGACTTTTCTGGACCATTTTCTCCTTTACCACCTATAACAAGTACTCAAAATTTCAATGAAATTTTTCAAACTAAACTTCAATCTCATTCAATGAAAGATTTCAAAGTAAGCCATTAAAGATTATATAAAATAAACTAAAAATTAAACGATAAATCTTTTGTCATTGCTTTGTATAGGATTATTTTCTTGAACAAGCTAAATTAACAGGAAAAATCGAATGTGATGCAAATCTATTATTAACCGATGCTCATATTTATGAATTAAGCCAATTTGATTGGCCTCATCTTGAAACAATTCGTATTCGTGCATGTCCTCAATTAACACCATTTGCTATGAATTATATTGAAAATATTTCTAAAAAACATAATGATCGACAAATAAATATCGTAAGTTTTTCTACACCAATATTTTAATTAGCCATGCAAATTTTAGAACATCTATTTATTAATTATTTATTTTTTAGAATGTCGAATTAATGTTACATGCTCATAATACAATAGAAAATAAAACCGATATAATTGATAGTACTATTACTAATCTTGAGCCATTCTTTGGAAAAGTAAAATTTTTTCTATTTGTTTATTGTTTTTCAATTATATTATTTTATATATTAAAGAGTATAAAAGTATCAATAACAAAAGTCTTAATTTATCATGCTAATAGTCACAATGACTCTATGTTACCATCAAAACAAATGATTATAAATCAAAATCGAAAATCAAAAGAAAATTTTCCTATGTTACTTAATTATTTATCATCAACACAAGATGGATGTCAAGTATCATATCTTGAATGTGCTAATGTAAGTTCAATGCTACATTTTTAATAGATCAAAAAGACAACAATATTGTTTTTTTTCTTATCTACTTCAAGTCAATTCTATTCAAAGAATTGTGTACGGCATTTCATCCACAAATAATTTATATGGTTATTTCGAATGTTGATGATATATTCAAATGTATTTTCTCACTTGATTGTACTAGATCATTTGTAATTTTGGTAAACAGATAATAGAAACAAATAAGACATGAATATATATTTTAATTATTTTAGCAAAAAAAACAAATTCGATTGATTATTAATAATAATGAAACTGATGAACAAGTTTATTCTAATATTCATTTAAAATTAGAAAATATTTCTAAGTCTGCTCATCAAATTTATTCTCAATTTATTAATGAAATACCAGAACAAGTGTAAGTTTACATAAGTATAAGATTTATAAAGATCTTTCAAGTTTGTTTTGTAATTTATCTAGATCAGAGAATGATGATTTTCGTCGAAATCATTATCTTACTAGTTTATTGCATGTTCAAACAAAATGTACAATGTTAAAAAAGATATTAAGTAAAGAGCAATGTTTAATTTTTCGACAAAATGTAAAATTATTCAATTGTTATTGTAATTTAATCATATATATTCTTTCCTAGGATTCATCATTCGTAATAAATCATTTAATGAAAGATTCAATCAAACATTGTAAAACTTTATATATGTTTGATAGTATTAACAATATTAGTAAAAATGAAGAAACAAATAATATATTCGAAACAAATGTACCAATAATGAAACTTGTTAATGAATTAATAAGTAAAGCAAAAGAACAAAGTAGAAATTCAACAACACAAAATGCAACGAAAACAGCACAAATTTATTATGCACACAAATTAGTTAATGTAAAAAAAAAAAATACTAATTTGTTTCTTTTCTTTTTTTCTAATGCTAACAAACATTTTCTATAATTTTTTTTTAAGGATAAAGTTCTTGATATGTATTCTACATCGAATGGTAAATCATATTGTATTTCGGATATTGAATGGTTTTGCGATACAATGAATAATCTCTTCAATATTGAAACACGTACTAATCGAAAAACTGAACATATTTTAAAACATTGCAAACAAACTCTTGGTACAAATATTCGTTTGATTTCCAAAACTAATTTTAAAAAATTAAAAATCAATACAGATGAAGTATTATATCATAATTTCATTCTTAATTTATTTTATATATTTTTTATTCTTTTACTACAGATGAATTTCTTTCAATGGTTATTCAATACATGGAACATTGCTTATCCAGTATCCATAATGAATCAAAGTGATAATAATATGTTTGTTCTTTTTAATTCCATATCATCAGAGCCACCTGTTCCATTAGTAAATATATTTGTTTTTTAATAATGATTTTAGAACAAAAAAAAAAAGAATGAAATCTTTTTTTATGTTTATATTAGAATATTATTTGGAGTAAATCTTGGCCAACAAGTGAATATGAAACCGAAATTAATTTTCATTTATTACATCCATGTGATGCATCAATTCTCTTTCATCTCTATAAATTATTTCCATCACAAAAATTATTACTTGCTTCAAAACATTTCTTACTTATTCAAGAAGGAGCAATCGAAATTTTAGTTCAATATCATCAAAATATTGATCATCATACGAGTATTCTTAATATTCTTTTTAATTTCAATAAACTATTACATCACCTATATTTTATTAGGTATCAGTATTACTTTTCGTTCACTCAATTTAAATACATCCAAAGATTCATCAGATGCAACTGTTAGATTAATGGAAGAATCATTTCAATATGTTCTTCGAGAATATTACATTATTATTTGGGCATTTTTATTCAGACATGATTATGCTTTTAAAGTATTTTTTTTTAAAGTAATTCATTGAAAAAAAATCATTTTTTGTTTTCGTATATTTAGATCGAAGAAAAAAGCAAAAATCCTTCTAATACCTTCGAAAAATTAAATGGTAAGTATAACGAATAATATTTAAAAAATTTTTTAACATAAACTTATTTTAAAACTAAGGTAATGAATTGATGTATCATCAATGGAAAAATTTGGCACTTTATCATTATTCATCAGCACCTACTCTTAGTTCAACTTGTTCTGTATGTGGTCTTCCTCCTACAGCAAACAAAGCTCTTTATGTAAAGCAAAAATTTTCTTTTATTCAATTATAAAATATTTAATTTTCATTATAATATTTTGCCGTTAAGGATGCATGTACAATATTATCACCTGCACGATATACAATACAAAAGAAAAATGACACAGATGAAATAGATAAAAATGAAGATCAATCGGGTTTATTAATATTTCAACTTGAAACTAAACCATTTTCTTATACAGGCAAACATAGTATGCGACCAGATGGATGTAATTCATTTGAAGTTGTTTTATTAAGTACCGATAAAGAGAATGAACAATTGAATTCTCCAATATTAGCATTCATTCAAATTGGGTGTTTAGTGTAAATTATAAATATAGTTTTTCTTAGAACAAAAAAAAAAGTCTTATTGTTGATGATTTGTAGGAATAATTTTGATATAAAAGATGATGAAAAGATCCTTTTTGCATATGGTACTGAATCTAAAACAGAAACGAAATCTCGTGATGTCCCACAATCACAAGAAGTAAATAAAATAATAATAGTTTTTATTGTTACTTCTTATTTTCAATATATTTTTAGACTATTCAAGAATCATTTTTAGATGAAATTCGTAATTTTGGTGGTGTAAAAGGTTTAAAAGGTGCAAAAAATAAATCTCATAAAAAAACTGAATTACAAGAACTTTATAACGGTTTACGATTACGTATTGATATATTATTTACTGATAAATCGGTATAATCTTTTTATTTTTATTTTTTTATTATCCTATGAATTTAAATTTTTTTTTATTTTCTTAAATAGAATACATATGAATTAGTATTTTCAATCAATGATATTCCATGGTCTCGTCAAACAATTAAACGTAAATCAACTCAAACAATATTTCAACCGATTATACAAAGTTCAGGAATTCATGATTCTGAACGAAATATCAATCTAATTGTTCATCACAGAAAATCAGCACTTGTTTGTTTTGCTTTTTTTTCTTCGTTAATCAAATATTTCATATATGATATTCTTTTTTTCTAGGATAAATCAATTATTACTAGTTCTACGTCAGGTACAAAACAAAATCCATGGAAAGTTGGTATGCGTCTTGAAGCTAAAGATCGAAAAAATCCAAACATATTAGCTATTGCTAATATTAGTAAGTGTTTTTTTGGTCTCTTATTCGCAAAAATCTTATTTTTTTTCATAAATATATTCTAGTCGAAGTTTATGATGATAATCGTATACGTATTAATTTTGATGGATGGACATCAACATTTGATTATACAGTTGAAACAGATAATTCTGATCTTCATCCTTGTGGTTATTGGGAATATGTTCAACGTGTTTTATATAAAAATTCAAATACATCTAAATTAAATCCACATTTTACTTTTACTCGTTATGATAAACCAAAATGTAAATATAGAGAAAAAAAATTTTTCTTTTCATTTGAATATATTATTAAATTTTATTTTAATTTAGCTTATGATGGTCAATTTAGTTGGCGTAATTATTTAACAGAAAAAAATCAAGATCCAGTACCATTCGAATGTTTTAATTATGTAAGATATTAAACCGAAAAAAAAAATAGAACTATCGAAATAAAACTTAAATTAATTCATTTTCTAATAATTTAGATACAAACAGAAGGTATGCCTGTTGAATATTTTCCACATGGTATATCAAGAGCTGCATTTACTTGTCTTTCATGTCGTCATTATTATAATGTACGAGTTAAATATCATAAAATGAATACATTCATTCAAGATGAAATCGTTAATAAAATACTTTATGAACATCATATAGAATCAAGTAGTCCTACAATAACAACAAGTCCAGGTGTAGTTTTATTACCAACACCATTTGATATATCAACTTTTATATATCCATGTTTGAAACATTTTCAAAATTCATCAAATTTTCTTATACATTTAACATGCAATCATCGAAGTAGGATAAAATAATTTTTATAAGTGAATTCATTATTGACTTAATTTACATAGGTATTTCTCCACTGGATTCAACAACTATTATATCTGGTGCACATTTAATGGATACTGATGGGGGTAACATTAAAACAAGCGATCTCAATATGCCACTAGTTACAATATGTATGTTAACTGCTATTGATCTTGCTCGAAATCAAGTAAACTTATTAATATAAATTAGTTTTTATTTATTTTTTTTTTTTATTTTTTTTTTTCGAGAAACGTCTAATTGCACCTTCGACATCAAAATTAATTTCAAATAATAATAATAAGACTTTATTTGATAAACGTCATATTGATTATTATATGCGACGTTGGCTTGATTTAAGTGCTTATATAACATGTTTTCATTCAACAAACTTTTATAATAAGCGTCCATCATCAATGAGTCTATCTCAAGACAATGCTATACCATTTTATACATCTTATACTGATGCAGATCTATATACTAGTCTTAATAATGGTCTTAGTTCAATAACAATTGATTCATCATATCCATTGAATACAAATAAAGAAAATCAATTCGGTAAATATGGTGAATGTTATTATTGTTGTTTACTTCGTAAAGATGAAATAAAAGATCGAACTGATATGTCATTACAAAAACGTATCGAATTAATTGGTGATTATGCATCAAGTATATTTTATCTTGAATTATATAAACAAGAAAAAAATTTAATTGAAAATGGTTTAATATTAAATGATGAATTTTTTCTTAAATTTAATGGTCTAGAAATAATTGATATAACAAATGTCATTATTGATTGTTTTCAATTAAATAATAAGAATATATATTGTTTAAAAAATTTAACATATCTTTCACTCGAAAATAATGATCTTTCAATATTTCAAATTGATTTTCAATATTTAAATCAATTAACTTATTTAAAATTAATTGAAAATCCATTTGAATCATTACCATTAAATTTTTTATCATCAACATCATTACAATATGTTGAATTAGCTAGACTTGGTCGATTAATTGAAATTGATTATAATACAAGAATATCATCGAAATTAAAAACATTATTAATTACAGAAAGTATATTAACAACATTACCACAAACATTAGCAACAGATGCTCGAGATAAATTGACTAAATTAACATTGAATGGTGTTCCTTGGTGGGGTGCTAGTGGATTGAGTGTTAATGAAGTTATTAAATATGATTCATTTCTTAAAAAATTTGTCATATATCTTGATTCTGATGAATTAGGAAAAATTTATCATATGTATGATGAAGATGTTAATGGAGTTTTATCATTTTCTGAAATTAATTTAATGAATGCTCATATGTATCGTTACATTCCACGCTTAAGACCATCGACTACGAAAATGGTAAGCAACTATATTTTATTTCAGAATTTTTTGTTTTTGTTTTGTAAAACACGATCTAATACAAACATTGAAGATATATGTACGAGTTGAAATTTGACATCTTCTCCCCACAGACATTATACATGAACATAGTAACGAAACTAAAGTATATTGTATAGTTATTAACTAATGTCTTCAACAGAAGTAAAAGTAAATGGGTATAAGCTCAATAACTCAACAGCGACAACAGCTAGCGGCTTGTAGTTTGAAGTAATCGCTATAGAGAAGGACTCAAAACAACGTCCAATGTTCTCTTTTTTCGATTACTAAAAACCATAGATCACTAGCTGTTATCCATCTCCTCAACATATCACAGACTGTATATCAATAAGGTCTCATTTTAATATATGAACTCCTTCTTTATTTAATCAAAACAGCTACATCGTGTTTCATATTTTAATCGAGGAGAGATTGTATTAACAATTTTCTTTATATATTTTTATTTTCAGCCGAATTCTGGTCGATCATCTGTTGAACCAACAAATACAAATGAATTAGATAATTTAAAACAAGATTCATTTAGTAGTGATTCATCGGGTATTCCATCAGCGATATTTTATCTTGAAAATTTAACTGAACTTAGTATTGAATATCAAGGAATTAAAGTTATACCAGATGCAATCAAAAATTTAAAATCTTTAGTTATATTTAATTTAAATTATTGTATTGAACTTGAAACATTAAGTGCAGAAGTAGGATTTTTACCACTTCGAGAACTTAATTTAACTGGATGTGTCTCATTAAAAACACCACCAATGGAAATAATACGTCGTGGTCATACACAAACAATGGCATTTTTACAACGATTAATTATGGGTTCTACACCATGTAAAAGAACAAAACTTATGTTAGTTGGTCTTGGTGGAGCAGGCAAAACAAGTTTAGTTCGTGCATTTCTTGAATCACATTCTGATACACCACCAGCAGTTACCGATGGTATTGATATTGTCAAATGGCAAGTGCCATTAAATGAACCTGATGATGTTCTTGAATTTAGTGTATGGGATTTTGCAGGACAATCTGTTTATTATCATACTCATCAAGTAAAATACATAAATAATTTTTTTCTTTTTTTCTAATACAAAAATTTTTTTTTTATTATTTAAAATTTAGTTTTTTTTGGCTAAGAAAGCTGTTTATGTACTTGCATGGAATATTCGTCTTGGAGCTGAACATGCTGGTCTTGATTTTTGGCTTTCTTCAATTTGTTGTCATGCACCAAATGCACCAATATTTGTTGTTGGTACACATTCAGATTTAGTATCTCGTATTGATCTACGTCAAGATGATCTTAAACGACGTTATCCTCAAATAACTGGATTCTTTAATGTTAGTACACATACAGGTGATAATGTTAAAGAATTAATTGATAGTATTATTAAAACAACATTAGCATTACCTTATATGGATGAATTAATTCCAAAAGCTTGGCTTAGTTTTGAAAAATTGATTGCTGAATGTGATGATGATATACTTGAATACAATGAAGTAGCAAATATAGCTCATAATGCTGGCGTATTTGATCCAGCTGAAGTTCTTCAATCGATACAATTCTTACATGATCTGGGCTCTTTACAATATTTTTCTTCAGAACATTTAAAAAATTATGTTGTTATTAATCCACAATGGATTATTAATGTTATGGCATGTATTGTTAGTATTAAAGATAGTCCTGTTAGAGATGGACGTCTGTTCCATTCAGATATAGATGTCATTTGGGCAGATTATGATAGACAATTACGTCCTTGGATTTTAAAATTAACTGAAGCATTCGATTTAACATTTCCAGTGCCTGATCAAAATATGAATTTAGTACCATGTCTTTTACCTGAAGAAGAACCAGAGGTGTGTTATTTCGTTTTTTGTTTTTATTCATTAACTAATATCAATCAATCTTAATTCTATATTTTTAGTATACATGGAATGATGATCTTAGTGAAACAGACATACGAGAAATGAAGATTACTTATACCTTTAATTATTTACCGGGTATGTTGTATTGAAGTGATAATAGTTGACGGCAGAAATAAGATCGGTTCGTGCTTTTTCGAAGCAAACGGATTGCATCTCCGATTGACGAACTAGCAACTTTGTCATATAATTGTGTCGAAGCTTTACATGACTGTCATTCTATTTCGTAGTATATAATATATCGTGACTGTATTAGAAGAAAGACATAATCTAGTAGAGCCATTCCATATCTACAACTAGATGTTTACCTTTTCTTTTGTGTCAGTCTTGTCATTTTAAGTCTGTATTCGTACCGTATTTTTTCATCAAAATGTTGTGATCCTCGTCAGAAATACCAGGAAAATTGAATTTTGAATTTTGAGTTGAAATTTTACAAAGAGATAAGTCTTGACAAGAATAGCCTATTATGAAATGAGAACATCGGACTTCGCTGTTGTATATGAGTGTTGTGAGAGCGCGTGGTTTTACTAAAGCTGTATCTTAGAATAAAATCAACCAAAAGATCTGAAGATTTTTACAATAAACTATTCTCATTAAAGTCTGTCTCTATTTAAACTTTCAAGTCAAAGTTCGAAACTCAGCTTTTCTGAGATGGAAGAGCATGATATTTCGCTACAGAAATATCCTAATAAAACAGTATCTCGGCAATAATAAGTTATTAGCCTGTACTCTTATCAGGATATTTATAGCGCATTATAACCTACAAAAATTTAACGTTTCTGGTTGTTTTTTACCTAGCCGGTTTATTCAATCGGGCACAAGTTCGTCTTTTTCAATTTTCTGATAAATCAACAATTTGGCGTTATGGTTCATTACTAGTGAAAAATAATCATCGAGCAGTTATAATACGTACAGATGGTTTGTTCAAAATTTTGTTTATGTTTATATTTTATTTACAAATATTCTTTTTTTTCAGATCGACATATTGTCATTAAAATTCAAGGTGTTCGACCAGATAATATTCTTTTTTTAATTCATGAAGTATTTGAAAATCTTGTTAATGAATCATTTTTTGGTGTTACATATGATATTGCTTTTCCATGTCCAGATTGTCTTGATTCTGTATGATCAATTTGATAATTATAGTATATAATCAAATAAGTAAATGTGTCATTTCTTTTTTAGCGCCTAAATGAACCGTGGCAATTTTCATCTTCACTTATTAATCGAGCTATTGAACTTAAATCACCATCTATTCAATGTCATCGATTTTTTCATGTTGCATCTGTTACTGATTGTAAGATATTAAAATTATGTTGAATATGTTCATTATTCATGCATTTATTTCATTCATAGTACAAGCACTTATTCCACCAGATAGTAAAAGTAATTATGATTTACATTTGGAATATTCTGTACGTGATCTTAAATCTTATAAACAAACTATGGCAGTTGATATTGTATATATCTATCCACCAGACCATATTCCAACAACATCAGAAATCGAGATTAAAGTTGATCCTAGAAAAATTAAAGATGATTTAACAAGTATATTCTAATACAGACAGAATGTTTATTTATTTATTATATTTTCTCTTATGAAAATTTAGAACATCGTTTAACAATTTGGACACCAGAATCAATGAAAGATTTTAAAATTGAAAATCATTTTTTAGTCATTAAAGAAGCAAAAATTGTTATATTTGGTATTTCAACTGAATTAATAGATAATCCTGATAATAGAAACTTATATGAAGCTTTACAAACAATAATAAATATTTTACGTAAACCAATTATTCCAGTTATATTCGGTCATGATATGAAATGGAAAGAGAGTGATATTGGTGTTGCATTATCAGATAAACTATATGTTAGTATGCAAGATCTAAAACGATATGACTATCGTATAAAACAATTAATGGATTTAGTTGAACAAGAAAAAAGTCAAAATAATCCAAATAAACAAATACGAGATCAACCAACTGATGTTTTTATAAGTTATTGTTGGGTAAATTCACATGATGCTGTTAGTAAAGGTATACAAATGGTTGAATTTCATATTTTAAAATACTATATTATTTTGTTTGTTTTTGACCTCTAGGTACAAAACCAACTGCGACGTCAATTGGATGGGGAGATCCTCGGATTTTAAAAGTACATGTTTTCTTTATAAAATATATATTATCAACTGATAATCATTTTTATTTGGTAGGATTATTTTGAAGAACGTGGATTACGTGTTTGGATGGATATTAATTGTTTAGGAAGAGCCGGTGTACTTCACGATATTGTTCATGTATGATATTCATATTCATTTTAAGTTCACAGTACATTTCTTTTTTTTTTTGTATTCTAAGGGTTTAAAAAATACAAAACTTGTTATAGCATGTGTATCCGATGAATATACACAAAGTGAAGTTTGTCGTAATGAATTTTTATTTGCAAAAAATACATTAAGGCTTCCTGTTGTATTGGGTATATTTGGTATTGGTGATAAATGGCGAACAACAGAAGTAGGGATGTGTAGTCTAACATGTCCACAAGTGAATTTTCAATTTGAAAATCCAAGTGCATTTGAGGATATCTATAATCATATTCACAGTAATTTACCTAAAAGATTAGCTTCAGCTAAAGATACATCAGTAAACGCCATTACAAAACCCGGCACTGAAGAAACAACAACAGCTGCTTATCAAGTATGAATTTTACATATAAATATCATCGATCATGAATTATAAGTATTATTTTCTTTAGGAATTATTTGAATTAACACAACGTAAATTTCTTCGTGTAACATCTGGTTTTGCTGAAACAATGAATGCTCGAGCTTATCCTCGTTTATTTGCTCTTGATTTTATGGGTGACAAAGAGAGATCAGCACAAGAATTAGCTCGTATTGAAATGGCCACGCAAATGAATACACAACGGCAACAACAAGATGAACAAGAGAATACAGAACGAGATCTTGAAGCTGAACGACAACGAGATGAAGAACTTCTTCGTGAACAACAAGAAGCTAAAGCAACTGCAGATGGGGATTCTAAAGAAAAGGAAACTGTCAAAGAAAAAGTTAAAACATTATGTATACGTGTACTTTGTGAAAACGAAGAAAATTGGCATACTGCTGGAAATCCATTTGAAATTACTGAAAAAATTGTAATACAAAATAGTGCATTATATTTATCACGAATGATGCTTCTTCTCAAACAAAGTGATTTACCATTAGAAATGCTTACTAGTGATGAAGGTGAAATTGAATTACAAAAACTTACTGAAGTAATAATAGATGTTTTGTTTTGTTTTGTTAATTCATATTTTGATTCTTCTTCTGCTTCTTCTTTTCATCATCAATAGATTGCAAATTCTATGACTATGGAAGTAAAAGATTCTTATGGATATTTGCGTCGATGTGTAATGGATTGTGATTTAGAAGAAAAATATTCTGGTCTTAAACAATGTCTTATGCCATCAGGTAAAGTTTTGTGGCTTTGTGAAGAACATCAAAACCAACCACGTGTTATACTTGTTACCGGTTCAATGGCTGGTGGTTATAATCGTCCGCAAGCTGAAGAAAAGAGTGAAATAATGAAAGCATTAGTTAAACTTAATGAACGGAGTATAAATATTATATCTATTTATTTCTTTTCTAATTTTACTATTTTTCTTTTGCTTTGTATAGTTGCGAATAATGAACTACCTCCTCCTACTATCAAAGTTCCTAGTATTGAAAGTGTTCGTCGTTTATCAACAGAAAAACAATCGCAAAGCACTCGTCAATCACAAAGTACTCGTCATTTACATCGATTTAGTCAGCAAGAGTCTATATTGATTAAATCTCAACGACAAAGTACTTTACTAATTGATAAAAATATTGAAGAAAATGATGATGAAAATATTCAAACAACTTCAAATGAATTAGAAAATAATGATGAAAATCTAAAACAAGAAGATAGTACATTAGTCGAATCGACTGACTGTTCAATTATGTAATATTGCTAACAGAACATTTACGCATCGGACAGTTAAGCAAGGATATTTGTAAGAAAAATCAGTGTAAAGAGCAACTACTTGAACAGTCTATGTGAACTTAGTGTATAGATCCTTGTTAGAAATAATATCAATCTTACTAGTAAAAGAAACAAACGAACACCATTTGTAGTCTAAGTTGAAAAAAAACATTTCATAACTTTCGAATGATTCATGCTCTGATTCGAGTAATTGCCTTCCCACAAGATAAAATCAATAGCAATAAAATTTCGATTTCTTTTCGATTAATCTCTGTAAAAATATTAATAAAAGAACATTTCTAAGTTCTGATACTAACTTTCGATTATTTTCAGGAGTGACTTGCATAATTTTTTTAATAATGATATATTCATGAAGTATTGTAGCTTGCATCAGAACTTTGTCCTTATAATTACTTATAATTTTATTAGAAAAATCAAACTAGAACTCACCTTTCTTACTCAGGACAATCTAAATTTTCTCTGAAAACAGATTTTATGAACAAATATCCGTGCATAACTGTCTATTTTTTCCGGTTACTTATATTTTGATTTGTTGTGTGTATGTCAGACTCTTAAATATTGTTCTTAACTTGCTCAGTGCGCTTAACAAAGTTTTTTGCTTTTTTGTGATATGATGCTATGCATATTTTTCTCAAAAAACAAAACAAACAAATAAAAATAACTCAAGAAAAAACTCTCTAACACTAAATTTAAAAAGAATCCTATTGATTTCAACGCTTTACTTAAATTTTATGATTAAATTCATTTTGATGGGATTTTTCTGTAGTTTTCAAACGTATTCAATTGATACTCTAGGGCGATTGTAAATGAGTTTGGTATACAGAATAAAAGATATGAATCCATGATAGAATAAATGATGCTAAATAGTATATAAGAATTTCCAAAATATACATGAATAATTGGTTTGTTTGCATTGTCATATCTATTCTTTAAATTAGATGTCATACGAGTTAATTCCGTGGTACGAACTCGGCATAAATCACATCTCCAAACTGAACTCATTGTTTATAAGATTATATAACTTTCAAATTGGTCAAAATGAAAAAAAATCGGTTACTAGGAAACGAATCAAGTTTTGTGTTGATTGAAATCGATAGATATTTCATAAAAACCCATTAAATGACGAGGATGAATGAGATCAGTTTAGATGTGAGAAAATGAATTATCGAGATACACATCCATATCCTATGGCCGCAATGAACTTTTTTACTGTACAAGATAGTCTATGTGCGTATTTATCTGACTTTTCGTTCAGATCATCACAACACAAAGTATAGATTTTTTTATAGCAAAAAAAAGCAAAGTATGAAGACCGAATATGCAAGCTACCATATACATAAACAGTTTACTTGCATGAGAATCAATTTCTTAATATAATTAATAAGAAAAAAAAATGTCAATGTTCACAACAATTCTATATTGTTTTTCTGTAAGTATGAAATCAAATAATTCAAACTACTGTAAATGAAATCTGTATGAAAAGAAATCTAGTTATGATAAAATGTAAAGTAAAATCAATTGCTTGACAACAACGTGTCGTGAATATTTGATAGTTTTTTTTTTTCTAGAAATGGTTTTACATTACATCATTGATGAGTAGTGCATTTGATCGATTTGTCTTGTATTCAACGTTCGAAATTTGTAGACATGCTGTATGAGAGTGAAAACAACGTGATACGAGCTTTCTATTAACAATAAAATATTCGAGTTATAAACATTAAATATTCCATCGAAAACAATTTTAGTGAAAATTTATGGCTTCCCTAAACTCTCATTGGACATAAAATAAGAGTTTTGACGAGAAATATTGTTACACGAATTTATAGTAGAAAATTTGGTCTTTCTAACGAGAAAATTATCAAATCTCCAAGAGGAGTTGTTTTTAACACTATATTGAAAAAAATAAAAATTAATGCAAGAAAACTGTAATATCATCATAAACAATCAGAAAACGTTTTGTTATGACTTTAAATATCGATATGGCAGTACTATTACTAAAAATTCTAAATGGTTGAAAAATAATCAATGTAACGTGATTTGTTCATTTTTTTTTATCAATTTATAAAGGACGAAAGTATTACATTTTTTTTGCTCATAGAATTATTACTAACATATTCTTTGACTATTTGACTGTTTTGATTATAGTAACATGCCGATATAACGATCGAATGAAGGTAGATGAGTAGGAGGAAAAGAACGTCAAGGGTTACATAGGCACACATTTACTTTGATCCCTTTGTATGTGTATCTTCGTTTTTTTTTCTTTCTCTTTATCGATCGGCAGGTTTCTTGTCAAAGCAGTTCGGTCAACAAATCTGTAGTTTTATACAAACGATTAGTTTCCGCCTTCACAATCGTTGTCGATCGATACAAGTGACTTTTTGACACGAACCAATTAGGAAAAAAAAAGATAACGGAGAGAAAAGAATAGTAAAAGATTATGATCATTGCATAGATTCGAAAAAAGAAAAGGCATATTATGATGATCGAAATCATTTGAATAGTGTACTCTAAGACACCGCCAAATGACCAAGGGCGGCAGTAACAAGCCTACAATGTTAGGTAAGTAAAGACAATAAAATATGATTACAGAAATTTAATTGAATAAAATGAATATTCTATGATGTTATTTAATATAAAAGGACGTCTGATCTTTGGTGAAAAACGTAAACAACATGCATCGCCAGCACGCCATCGATCAGCCACACGAAATGGTGGTACTATCGCTGATGTATCATTGTCTAGTAGTGGCAATGCAAATAAAAATCTAATCAATCTACATGATTGGGCTGTTTGGCGAATGCATTTAAATGAACAGATGGGTAATGGAATGGCTGAACGAACTGATCTCAAACATATGCGACAATTTCTTCATTCAAATCCATTTTATCAACAACATAGTAGAGATCCTTCTAACGGACGATATAATGGTGTTCGATTACTTTTTTCAATTCCACATGCTAAACTTAAACCTGAATTAATTTATGGATCACGAGAAGGAGTATTTAACAAAAACACTAATATGGATATAGGAGATACGACAACATATGATCAAAATAATGTTCTATCAAACAGTGATGATCGTACAACAGCTAGTGTTAACTCAGTTTCAGCTGGATCACCAATGATTATCGACAAAACTATCAATCAATTACTTCCGAAAGGTTTAATAGGAAATGCAGGTAGTTTTCTTCCCACTAATGAATCAATGGCTGCTGTCGATATTGCAAGAACTCGGTAAATTTGATAGATAAGATGATTTTGTTTTGTATAATAGTTTATTCTTATTTTTTTTTGCTTAGTCGTTCATTACGTACTCCTTACACAGCATCGGATCGAGTACATTCAACACTACAGAAAGCAGTTAAAGATGGTAATGTACTCGAAAAAATCAAAGCATTTGAAATGCAAGCAGCTGCAGCTCAAGCTGAATCAGCAACAAAATTAAGTGGTGGGGGTGGTGCTGGCGGTGGTGGTGGTATCAATCATCGAATGCAATCGATTACATCATCAATTCAATCAGCTGCTGCACATCGTACATTGAGTCCAGCTATGATACATCCAATTCAACATCCAATATCACCTATGCCCATACAACATGAACCACAACAACAATTCATTCGTTCACATCGAAGTCGCCATATTTATCCAACACAACCACGTCATGATGGTAATCTTGGTCCAATGATGGGTCGTCAATCTCGAAAAGGAGCACATGTATTGGAACCTGCTCTTGGAGATATTATTCTTAAACGGCGAACACCTTCTCAAAAAACTGTCAATGACGAAGACTATTCCGTTACAGCTATTAGTTCAATGGCACTTCCAGTTTCTCAAGGTTATAATCATCGTCAACATCATTATCATCATCGAACAAGTGCATCTCGTTCTCGACATCGAAAAGAAACAGTTCCTGATAAACGTACATCTCATAGTCATGAAAATGTTCATAAGAAGCCTCAACAAAAACAAAAAGAAGCAACAATATCATCATCATCAACTAAAACAAGTACACGTCATCGTTGGCTCAAAGGACATAAAGATAAACCAATCGAAACTGTAACGGAGAAGGTTAAACAAGATGCCTCAACAAACAAATCTAATAAAAAGAATAAAACTAAAAAGAAAAATACAGAACAAGAAAAAGTCGATTCGAAAAATCAAATGAAATCATCTGTTTCTAAAGGAAAAATATTATCAGATAATAATCGTGTTTATGGTGTACCAAAGACAACCGTAAATGAACAAACAAAATTTGAAGCAATATCACCGCAGCCACCATCAAGAATCGATGAAGAAAATGAATCTGATCGAGAAGAAGAAAATATCGAAAATCAAAATAGTCATATATCAACAAAACAAGAAGAAAATCTTACTGTATCAAAACAATGCGATACACCTGTTGAAATAAATGTTGAACGAACACCAAATAAAACACAATATCAACAAAAATTATCAAGTAACGATGGAGAAATTTTAAGTAAAATTGAAGATGATACTCGGTTTGTACATAAATACTTTCCTTTTTATTTTGGAAAATTTTTATTTTATTTCAAGATTTTCTCGTCCTACTGATGATCATGCTCATCGTTCGGAACTCAATGATGAAGATGATGAATGTAAAAGTGAAGGAGATGTTTTTATCGAAGAATCATCTTTAACAAATATAAATTCTTCTCAACAACAACAACAACAACAACAACAGCAGCCATTGTCAACAAATGTTATTCGACGTCATTCAAGTCAACGTTCAGCTGAAAAAATTCCATCAGAGCGACGCTGGCAATGGTCAAAAGAAAGTGGTGGATTAATTGATAAAGGAAATCGAAAGAAAAAACAACAATCAGCTATAAATCTTTCTTCTAAAGATAAAATCAATCAAGATGAAGAACAAGTCGTTTATGAAACACCATTATCCGAACAAATACAACCATCATATAAGAAACAATCCTTTCATACAACAACAACAACAACAACAACTGAAAATAGTGATGAACAGAATAATAATAATAAACAAATTAGTAAACAAATTCTTCATGCTATTCTAAATTCAATGACTAATAGTCAAGAACAATCAGTGATGAATGAATTTTTTGAAAATGGACCTTATACAAATCCTGAAGAGACATTAACGAATATAACTAGTACAGCTTAAAAGAAAATCACACGATCGAGACTTCATAATATAAAATTTTAAAAATATTATTTATTAGAGTTTTACGTGAAATAAAATGTGTAAAAGAAAAAGAAATGTAATTGATCACACGTTTAATGTTCAATTTGTACGAGAGCTGGAAATGTTTTCATACGTAAACGTTCAACTTCAGCACGTAAATAAGCAACTTCTTGTGCTTGTGCTTTAGCTAAATCTACAAGACGACGACGACGTACAACTTGATGAATACGATCTTGTTGATCTGCTTTTGATTGTTCAACAACTAAAATAAGACAAAAAATAAATAATGATTTTCATATTTTATTTTCTTTTTCTTATAATCAATTATTAATTTACTTCGTTGATCAATAATATTTTTTCTTTCATATAAATTAACATTGGCATTTTGTAGTGCTTCATCAACAGCTAATGTTACATTAGCAATAGATAAATTATCATATTGTAATTTACGAATTTCATCTCCTTTTATTGATTTTTGATCATCAAAACGCTATGAAAATAAATTCATTTTGATAGATATTTTTCCATGAACCTTATTTTTTTACGGTTTACTTGTAGGCCACGAATATGTATACAAAAAAAAATAGCCATACTAGTTTTTGTGTTGCTAAGGGCAATCCTTTTATAAACATAAGCTACCAAAACGATTGATAAAGAGACTGCTTTTAGCAACAAATAAGTTAGTATGGCCACTTTTTTATGATACATGCTTGTGGCCAACAAGTAAATCATGAATAAGACTCATTGAAAGAAAAAATTCGACCAACTTGTTTCATTTTGTCAATTGTAGCTTCTAACATTTGTAATTCACGTTGTTTTTGTGATTCAAATGCTGTATCATTCGAACATGCTAAATATTCTTGAACATTTCTTGTTACTTTTAGAAAAGTTATATCTTGTGCACGTTGTTTTAAATCAGTTATTTCATATGTTAGTTTTTCTTTTTCCCTATTCAAATGAAAGATATTAATCCATAATTATTTTAATTTAATTTTCTTTTTTTGTTTTATTACCATTTCATTGATTGTAATTCATTAACAACACCTTTCGTTTTTTCCATTTGACGAATTTTCAAATTTGCTGATTCCTAATGAAAGATAAATGGTTGAATAAAACATAAACAACAAAAATGTAATTGAATGTTTTACAATAATTGATTTGTTTAAATCTTCAACTTCATGACGATTAATAAGTTCAACATCAGTATTTCGATATTGATCAGGTGGAAGATCAGCTGGTTGCGATTGAACTTCAACTTGACCTTGTTTGAGAACGATTTGTACATATAAATCAAACATATCATCAATATGAGCATCTTTTGTTCTATAAAAAATATAATTATAACAATAACAACAACAACAACGAAAAAAAAAAGAACAAATAAGAAAACATACGTAATAAGAAGATTTTGTATTTGTTCAAATTCAACACTTTTTTTTGTTAATTCACCTTCGCGCAGGTTTTTTAAATTTTTTATCATTATTTCTTCTTGTTCTTGTTGTCGTAACTAAAATTAAAGATCAATGAAACAAATTAACTATCAATTTAATAAAACTCTTTCTTAAAAGATTCATAATTATACCAAAAAATTTGCTAATGAATCATCAGAAATTATTTTTTATGAATCAATGCCATCCAATTCGACCTGCGTTAGATCCTGCGAGATATTTCGAAAGCTTCCTATTGTAATAGAATTTGAATACTTTCATCATGCTTTAACCAAATTAGTTAATTCTTTTCTGATAGTAATGGAGGAAAGATTCAAGTTTTTATTTTTATTAGAAAAATTGTTGATAAATAATGTTCAAAGTTATCACTCTTGACCATCATGCAAAATGAAACTTTCCTGATTTACAAGTATGCATGCGAGGAATACTCGCAAGTGACAAGAGGCTTTTGAATTTATATTTTCTTCAGTAGTGAGAGACTACTAAATTAGAACAACTTTCGAGGAGTCCATATTCTTGCTACATGTTCATTGAGTTATTGAATTTACAACTAATCAGTAAGTCCAATTAAAAATTCGATAAAATCTATAAAAATTCTGTCTCTCCTTCTCGTTTCGATACGACAGCATATTTTCAATAAAATTTTATTATCTGATTGTGATCTGAAACTTATTCTAAAGTTCTTACTTAGTCTAGTGTGTGCAACTGTAGTAGAAAGGCTATGGTAACATTTTCAGGTCTGTATCATGACGTTTTCGGGAGATATTCAATAAACAACGGTCTATATACTTATTTTTTTTTGTTGGAAGGAGCATGTCAGGATTTAGAATATGACAAAGTCATTTTGTATTAAATTCTTACCTTTTAAGGAGAGAATAGTTCAATATCTCAAAAAAATGACAACCAACCCCGTCAACAATATCCGCAAAAACACGTTTCCCGAATAAAAAGTCATGTTCTTAATGAAAGATCCAATATTTGGCTTATCCTCTCATTCACAGCAGTGTCACGTATCCAAGATTTTGGAGATGCCACCACATCTCCTGCGGGAGATGCCGCATCTCGCTCGAGAGATGCGAGTGTGGGTGTGGGGGATGCGTCTCTCTAAAGGAGATCTTACATCTCCAGTGGTGAATGACCTCATCTCCCGAGTGTGGGTGTCGCGTCTCCCGCTGGAGATGCGGCATCTCCTGTGGGAGATGCGGTGGCATCTCCAAAATCTTGGTTATGTGACACTACTCCAAATGAAAGAGACTATATAACAAACGTTAATAACAGTATAACGATTTATATTTTATTAAATGTTGCTACAGCATTTAGCCTATTTCAATCTTTTGTAAATTGTCACAAAAAGCTGATCAAATTCTTTTATTTACTACAGGTTAAAAGAATATTTTAAATTGCAGCAAGAAATTCTTTCTTATTCAAATACAAAAAAAAAAACTGTTTTGACATATATATAGCATTGAAGAAAATTTGTATGTTTAGACTTACTTCTCGTTCAAGGTCAGCACGTCTCTTTCGGAAATCAACAAAACGTTCCCAAACATTTCGAGCAATATTTGATGGTGCATTTGTATATGAATCAGCTTCTGTTTGCATTTTATCAAATTCAAGTTCAAGTAAGCGTATTTGTCGTGATGAATATGGATTAAATTCATCTACTGTTTTCGGTTGCTTTAATCTACATTACAGAGAAAGATTTACAAAAAAAAAACAGGAATTTCAAAAGACTTTTTTTTTTACTTTGGTCGTTTAATCAATAAACGTTTAAGGGAATCTTGTAATGCTGATGGAACATCTGCAAATTCTCGAGGAAATTGTTTATCAAATGTATCATCAGCTTTTAATCGTCTTTTTTCATTATCAACATTATTAATACTATCTTCTAAAGCACGTTTTGAAAGTTCAAGTTCATGAACTTTATCTTCAAGTATTTTTGAGCGATTTTCATATGTTTCTTCTAATTGTTCAATAAGTCGATCTTTAACTAATGCAAATATTAAACGACTAATTTTTAATTCTTCCTATAATAAATAAAATAAATATGTTATTGTTGTTATTTTTTGGTTTTTCGTTGGATTAAAAAATTCATCTACTTGAATAGCTGCTGTTTGAGCTAAAATTCTTCGTCGATGTAATTGAATCAAAATTTGTTCAAATGTGTCACAATTTTCTTGAATTTGTTCATGAATTTTACTTGCTTCTGCAGTTAAAACCTTTTTTTTTTTATTTGAGGAAAAAATAAGTATTCGTTATAATATAAATATGTGTAATAAAGAAGAAACAAACTTTTCGTAATTTATCTCTTTCTTCTTGTTGTTCTTTAACTTTTTGTAAATATTGTTGATAAGTTAGTTTTTCAAGTTCTGTCCATTCATCTTCAGGTTTCTCAAGTGCAAATGCTGGTTTAGGAATTTCCTATAAAGATAATAGAAAGGATTTTTTTTTCCATTGAATTTGAGATTCAAAAACGAAAAACCTTTTTTAATTCATCTTCTCGTCGAACTTGTAAAACACCACCCATCATATCGTTAAGACCACGTTCACGCCAATTATCTAGTTTTTCCATTTCACGTCGACGTTCTTCATTAAGTCGTTGTTCTTCTAATTGTTTTAATTGCTCTGGTGTATAATATCTTTCAACTTTAACCTTGAAATAAATAAATAAAAAAATATGTCTTACTGTTTTGTTCAATATTCTGAAGTCATTAGAAGAAAATTAGAAATGAAAAAGTAAACGATTAGTTGCAAATTCTTCTTTCGTTTCTGTTTTGATCAGTAGCCGTACAAAGGTAATTTTTAGAAGGACGGATATAGGTTCTAAGCCCTTCTCCCTTGCAAACGGTTTAACTGTGCTTGAACAAGGCTTGACTGAATCTAGAAATACGACCAGTGGAACTTTTGCCTCGCTAGACGCATGGCTGTAAGGGGAGGAGCTGAGTGCTCTCTGCGAGTTCAGGACAGATGTTCGCTGAACAGATGATAAAAACAATAAACTCAATCATTTGAGTATCGTTCTAACTGAAAGATTGATTTTCTCATGCACGATTTGAGAGCAAATGTAAATGAAAAGAAGATATATCCACTAGCATTCTCATTCACACACTCTTTATGTTCAAACATCACCAATACTATGTCAGACAGTCAACCACCGAAGGAAAAAACAAGTCTTTTAATAAACAAATAAAAAAAATTGATTCAAATCCATATATAGACGCTGATAATCTGTTAAAGTATACTGAATGTCTACTGTCTCTATAAATTCTCTTTCTGTCTCTATTTATGTATTCTTGTTCAATATTGTTATTTCGTATGAACTCTTTATATAATCTCTTGGTTAAACAAAAACTTCAACAGAAAAAGTCAAACATATTTTTCATTGACAAAATATATGATGAATTCTTTTATACATACCTCGTTATCTTTAACTTCAAATAATAATAATGGTTTTTCTTTTTCTGTTAAATCTGGTTCCCAAACAGGACTTGTATCATCTAAATCTGCATTGATTTGTTTAATACGTGTATTTTTTTCACGTATTTTTGCTAATTCTTGTAATTTACGTTGATGAACAGTTTCAAATTCTTTATTAAATGCTTCTTTTATTTTATATATTAAATCATTTAATAAAACAATTTGTGTCCATTTTTGTTCATGAGTATATAATTCAAATTGATTATAAAGTATTGATGTATCAACTTGAAATTCATTACTAAACAAACGATTAAAAATAAGAAAAACCTATTCAATAAAACTTGTTATTGTTGTTTTTTTTTGTCTACCTAACAGAACCAAGTAAAGCAGTTGATTGTTTTGTTTGTTCACGATGATCATCCTCATTTTCAAGTGTTGACGGTTCTTCACGCTATTAATAAATGTTTAAGTTTCAAGTTTAAAACAAAAATTATAAAATTTACCAATGGAATATCACTGCCCACTTCATGTCCAATTGAGCTATCTGCAAGAATTTGTCGTCGTAATTTTTTTTCTGCAATTTCAATACGACGTCGTTCGATAATATGACGAATATTTTCTAATTCTTCAAGACTACGTGGTAATAATGGGTAATTTTCAACAACAATTGGTAGTGTTTGTTTGCGATATGGATTTGTTATACCCTGAATAAAACAATTGATTAAATGATGAGCTAGAAAATAATAGCAAAAAAAATACCTCAATACATCGTCCTTTTATACTCATAGAATCCCAACATTGTTGTTTAATAACTTCACGTTTCATAAGACGAATAAGATTTTGTGTTATGGTTTCATCTCGCATCTTTATAAAGAAATTTATATATATATATATTTTTTTTCATTTCAGAATATTCAAAAAAAACAACGAAATAACTTACTTTAATAATCGTAGCATCTCTTTCTTTACGTTGTCTTTCTTGTTCTTCACTATCTAAATCAAATTCTCGTCGATCAAGTTGAGCTTTTTCTTCTCGACTATCATTTATTGCCATTAATTCATGAAGCTATTTAATAGAAAAACTTGTTAGTACAATCTCTACGAAATTAATAACTGAAACACAATCTAGTCACTGATGCTAATTACAGAGAGATTATTTTATCGTATCTATTTTAGGATACATTTCTTTACCACCATTTCACTTAATCATTCAGCAATCCAATAAGGAAGTCATTTAAGGAAAAGTTACTGATAAACGATCTGTGAGAGAACGGTTGAGTACAATGGACATTTTCCCGTAGATTAAAAATGTGTAGGGTTCCGATATCTTTCTCAGTCAGGTCACAAGGTAAGAAAAAATCTTGCCCTGTACATCTCCATCACAGATAAAACTATCTGAAAATGTTAAATGTGAAAAAAAAGTTTTTTTTTTACTAAAAAGTCATTGTGGCAAGCCCTTACTTTACATATACGTGGAAATATTTTTTTATAACAGGAATAAATGATTCGTTATGTGACGCTGACTTCAAATACGAAGTTAGTCTTCAACAAGTGTTTTCATTTTGAGAAAAATTAATTTTACCTTGAAATCCTATAGTTTAGCCGTGGAGCACTGACTCTCGGTCTGTGTCATGAGTGAAGAAGCATTTTATAGAAGTTTCCTTCATTCTGACATTGTAGAAAAGAGTACTTTTTCCTCATTGTTCACAGTATAAAAGCCAAGCTCCTAATCCTAACTAGCAGCTTTTTTCGACTAATCATAATAAGCAGAACATAAACTTTCATATCAGCCACAATATATATAAATATTTAAGCTATGAAAAGATACATTTTCAATTTTTTACCCATACACTTCAACACTCCTCTTCGATAGTATTTCATAAAATAGCTATATTTTTAAAAATAAAAGTTAAATAATTAATTCATACTTCTTTTCGAATACGTTCAAGTTCATTACGAATTTCTATTTTTGATGTTAAATGTGTATCAAGATTTTGTAATGTAGCCTTCAAAGAAAATTTATTCATTTAAATAAATAATAATAATAATAATAATAATAAATAAACCTCATATTCTTTTAATTGTAACCATGACGAATCTTCTTTTGGTGCTGATGGTGGTGTCATATTAACATTTTGAAATTTTGTTTGATAATCTCTCTGTAAAACAAAAAAAAAAGTAAAGTTTAATTCAAATTATTTGAATATAAATAAAAAGCTGATTTCATACAAATCGATCATAAATATTCTCAAATAAAGCAGATGATGCATTTTCATAAGTAACAAGATTTGCTAAATTTCTCATTTTACGATTAATTTCTTCAGATGAAAAACCCATACGTGCCATCAGTCTGCCAGCATATCTAAATAAATATAAAACGAAAATTAAAAATTTCTTTATTTTCTTTTTATTAATTAAAAATGACTTTGTTTGAAAAACGACAATAGAATTATCTTCAGCAACTGAAACAATATATTTTGAATCAACACTCCATGAAGATTTATAACATCCACAAGCAAGTGAAGTATGTGCACGTATTGATGATTCTACTGCCTATTGAACAATAGAAATAATGTTTTCTAAAATATCTCTATTCTTTAAAAAAGAATACCATATCTGAAGCACGAATCATTGAAATAATTCCATCTCGACTAACACATATTATCCATGATTGTATTGCTTTATTTTTGTATAAATGACCACCAGAAGAAGGCAATCCAGCAAGTGAATCTTGTGGTTCAACACTAATTAATTTTCCTAACTAAAAAAAACAAAGAAATAAGAACATTTGAAAAGAATAATAAGATAAATTAAAGAGCAAAATTAAAAGCAGCCTTTTCTATTCTTTTCTAATTTATCATACATCTCGTTTTGATTTAAATCGACGATTTTTTGAATCCTGTACAAGAAAATAATCAATAATCGAAACTATTCATTGTAATAGATCATTAAAATGAAAGAGAAATCATATAATAGAAAAAAAAACGATCTATTGTTTCAAGCATAAAATAGCAATATCAAAAAAAAATTGAAAAATCATCATTCTCACGCTCCGTCGTCCTCGTCGTTCAGATTTATTCTGTTTATACATAAATTTATCGTGAAATGTCTTTCTCTTGATCATTGTTTATTATTTTACCTTGCCTATTTCATCTGGTATGCGACACATTCTTAAAGATGTTCCTCCTAGTGTAATTAATTGATTTCTAGCTGTTATTATAAAATCTTCAATGATATCATGAATAGCAAAATTTGTTTTTGTTATTATTTTTGTTGATGTATCATTGATAACATAATCCATATATGATTCATTTGTACTTGATGTTTGTAAATTTTGATTTTCTAGACATAAAAAAGAAAGAACAAAAAAAATATTAAAAAAACTTAGTGTAATCTCTAAAATACTAAAATATGAAACACAATTTAGCTGCTATTGCTAATCGTACAAGGATTGTTTTATCTATCTATCTTGGAACACATTCAACAATGTCTATCATACACAGTCTTTGACGCAGGGAGATAAAAATAATATTATTGAATTATTTTACCTCGATATTGTTGCCAGTCAAAATCGATAATAAAAAATCGACCATGTTTTTCTGTTTTTGTATTTAATGCAACAATAATTCTTGTTTCATTTGATTTATCTTTTATATTTCCAATAGGTTCATCATCATATTCACGTTGTTGTTGTTGGTCATCATGTTCAATATTACCTCGTTGTTTTTCAAAATCATCTAAATCAAGTGCAAATGGTTCACCATCAAGATCTGTTCGATAGATTATTTGAAATATATTATCAACTAATGTTTGATCAGTTTTTATTTCCATTATAAATAAACTATTATCAATACCAGCTGATACAAGTATTGTACCATGTGGATTAAATTTAATACAACGTATATCATTTGAATGCACACGTAAACGATGTATAAGACGAAAACCATCTGTATTAATTTCATAAAAATAAAAAATACCCATTGTTGAAGTAACAACAATCAATGGTAAAATAGGACTTGTTACTATATGACTAATCATTTGATTATCAATATGTGTTGAAAATTTTCTTGAACCATCACTTATTGACCAAGCTTCTAAGGCACCTGAATCTCGTATTGTTACAACTAGTTCATTTGATGGATTAACAAGTGCAATATCAACAATTTTACCAAGTGCAATTGGAATAAGAGTTGATGGTTTTGGTTCCATTGTTACTAGATCAAATATATCAACACCTTGTTTTGAACAAATAAATAAATTATTATATGTTTGATTAAATATGGTTGTTGTTATATTAGCATTTAAATCCATAATATCCGTAACATTATTTGCTTCTTGTAATGTACCATCTTGATTTTCAAATGTAATTAAACGAACAATGTCATCTGAACCAGCACAAAATAAACCAAGTTTATGTAAAGATATTTTTTTAAACATTCCTATTGAACCATGTGTTTTAAATTTTTCTTCTTCGGCAAAACGTGTTGCACGAAATGGATGTTTTTCACGATCGAATTGTAAAAGTATTTGAATAAGAGAATCATCAGCTGTACCAATAAACACATAACCTTTATCACCCCAACAAAATGAAGTTGCAACAAGTTGAATTTTTTCATCAATATATGTTTGAAAAGCATCTTCATTTTCACTGTCAAATGCTATAGAAAAAAGAAATCATATGGTAATTGTTTTTTCAATATCCTATATAATTAACAATAGACGCCATCATGACCGATAAGGGAATATTTCTAAGTGTCAAAGTGCTTTTAAGTTGAAAGTATATGATTTATATAAGTTCTAATGAACTATAAATACCCTGAAAAGAGTTCGAGTTGATAGCTGATTACTGTCGAGATAGTGTATTATTCTTGTATTTTCCAGCAGAATGTTGTGGCCTCTCTCAGCAAACCGAGTTGATTACATCTATTCTGACATCAGATTACAAGAATTGGCAGTTGTATATGAGCGGTGTGAAAAACACGCCTTTACCATAGTCGTATTTTAGGATAGAAGCAATCAAAAGATCTGAAAGTGTTTACAATGAAGATGTGTCTCTATGACAAGTTTCAAGTTGATATTTGAACCTGGGTGTTTCTAAGGGGAACGACGACATACTGCTAAAAACCACGGTAAAAATATAATAACGTGATAGTAATAAGCTATTAATTCGAACTATTCTCACAGTATTCATAGCTCATTAGAATCTATATGACACATATAACTCGAACGTGTAAACTTCAGTATCATGGATCACGAAATGATCTTGAACAAATCATTCACGACTATATGTCTCGGATAAATCGTCCGTGGGTATGCTGATTACGTGGTGATATGCACTTGCTCTTTTTTAGTTAGTGTGTATGGAAAGCTAAAGCTATTGATCTCAGAAGTTCTGTGTCAGGCTGACCATAGTGTACGGTGGCTCTCAAGGAAAAGATTATTCTTCTAGCAATAGACGCTTTAATTCGGATTTTATGGTTTTTTAACTGGAATCAATACAAAAATTTATTGAAGTATACATACCAACAAGTTTGACACTTGTTCCTTGATCTGTTCCTACGGTACTATCAACTAATGTAAATGAAAATCGACTTGGAAAACGTCGAATAACATCAGCAACTAAAATATTGATTAAATAGAAAAACTTAAAAAAAGAAAAAAAAATCATTTTTATTTTTTTTGCTATACCTCTCAGTGAATTTGATTGTTTATTTTTTGTTTCGTGATATGTTGGTTGATTATGAGCAACAGTTTGATTAAAAAGTTCTAATGTTAATTGTCTTTCAAATAATATATATATATCATTTCGTCGTTCACATGTATAAAAATTAATTTGATCACGATAAAGTATGCCAATATCATACCAAGAATTTGGATTAAAACTAATTTCTACTAATGGTTTTTTTGTTGTTTCACATTGTGCTAATTTTATTCCAGTACGCCAATTCCATATGGTTAATAAATAATCTGGTGATGTTGAAAGTGATAATAATTCTTCAGTTGTTGAAAATTCCAATGCACTATATTCAAATTCAGCTGCATTTGTAAATTGTTTTATTTCATCTAATGATGGATATTGACATAAATGAATTATTGGTGGATTTTGATAATCAGCAAAAGCAAATAAATGCATATCAGCATTACCAGCCTAAAATACAAACAATAAAATTTTATTTTTATGTTAAATAAAAATAACATACAATAACTCCAACACCAATTCCATTTGCTTGTCTTGTTATACATGTTTGATTATCATTATCAGTAAAATCATGAAAACGTAAACCATCATCAATAGCATAGAATAATACCGTTTGATCAACAAATGCAATTGATTGACCATGGTAACCATTCGTCCACCTAAAAAAAAAATTAAAAAAAATAAATATAAATTTTTAATCTATTAAATAAATGTCAAATCAAACCATCGTGAAAGTGTAAGAGGTTTAGCTGATTGCAAACGAGGTGCTCGTACAGCCATTGAATAGACAACAGGTTGATATGTGAGTTTTGTTTTCTAAGAGAAAAAAGAATCTTCTATAGCCATTTTTTGTTTTTGAAACTAAGCAACAGCCATTGTGATGTCGTACAACGACATTCTGTTTCGCTAGTTAGGACAACCAATGATAATATCCGTCATTTTGTCTTTCTGTTTTTTTTCGAAGAAATTTCATTTTTCGGAAGAAAGAATATCAAAGATTAGAAATAAATTATTTTTTATTTAGATATATTTAATTATGAATCCAAATATGAATTCAGAAGAATTTCCATCAAATGAATCGTTTGATTCTTATCATTCATTTGGGTCGAATTCGTCATCATGCCAAGTTTCTCCAAGTCGTTTTCGAGGACAAACTCATTATCAAGGTATATGTTATCCTCTTAGTTAGATTATTAATTTTTTTTTGTCATAGGTCCTTATCCAACATCTAATCCTCGAACACGTCAACATGGTGGTTAGTTTTTTGTTCTTTTTGTAATATAATTTATTTTAGTAATTATTCTTTATAGATTTTTCGCAACGTGGTCGATATTCATACAATAAACGTGGTGGTAGTGGTGGTGTTCATCGTTCACATATTCGTGATAAAAACTTTGATCAACAACAACAAGAACAACCATTTGATAATACTAATGCATATCAAACAACTACGATTAGTTCTTCTAATCGTAAATTTAATAATTTTTTTCGTACAAATATGTTAGAAGATCCTTGGATTAATATGAAACCAACAAAAGTACCATCTAATGGTACATCATTAGTATTTGATTCAACAAATAATTAAAAATCTATAGATATATTTTTTTGCTTTTCGTATTGTTCAATTTGTTTTTTTTTTTCATAATTATCTTATATTCCAGATAATAACAAATACTTCATATTTACAAAAATATTTATTTTCATACAGATTTAAAATACTCTTGATCATGACATATTCGTCTCTGTTGCACATGAACATTGTATTTAACGAAGAACAAGTTTATCAAGAAAACCATTTTTTTTTTTGATAAATTTGGTTTTTTATTTATCTATTTTGTTTGTGTTCGTTTTGTGAAACATGATCTAAATGGAGTGTGAAAGCAGACATTACCATAGAAACGTTACAAACCAAATCGATAGGCCGTGACAAAAATCTGAGTAACAATACATTACAGACGTGACCGACATAACAATGAGTTTGTCATGTACGACGATAGATCCCTTATCAATGCAGTCCCCATCCTTCGCGTTACAGACTCTGATAAGCGGTGTTGGTTAAAATCATAGACGGTATACTACTAATGTCTCGCTAAACTACTTCCGTATTGTATTTTTGGAGAATGAAGTAAAAGGATAAGTGAGAAAATGTATGTCAACATAGATAGAATAAAAACAATGTTTCTGAGGTTAGTAACAGCAGCTACATGGTTTTTCACATTTTAATCTCCTAAGGATTGTACTAACAGCTTTTTGTTAATAAATATATACGAGTTAGGTTGGCATGTAACGTATGCGAATATATGTACTTTGTAGTTTTAATTGCCAAATGGTAAACAAAAAGAATTATGCAGATAGCATAGACTAATGAGTGGAAGCCTTTTTTTTGCAGATTAATATATGTACATATATAATATGAGATAGTGTGCCTTATCTACCGTTGTCTAATTCTTAATATAGTTCGGATGTTGTCAGCAGTAAATATAGCAAATACAGAAAAAAATGATCTCGTTTTCTTTGCCAGACAGAAAAAAAGAAATGATGGCTATGTGATTTATTCCAGATCAATTTTTAGTAAAAAGATAATAATACATATACTCTAGTCGTTTATTTATTAATTGATTTCATAAAAACGTCTTTATGTATAAAAATTAATTGATTGACAAAAAGAAAGAAAAGAATGACAAGTGGCTGAGCAAGAAAAGAGAATTAAAGAAATCAGTGCTGTATAGTATCAATCATTGGAATGTGGCTGCTTTTATTATTTGTCAAAATTCTTAACCAAAATTGACATAGTCTTGGTTAATTATATTTCTGTTTACTTCCAATATTTATGCTTCAGAAAATAGAAAGCAGACTTATTCTTTTTTTTTTCCTATGTGTTCTTTCATTCTGAACATATTATTATGACAGTTACTTGAATTAACTGTCATACACGAAAAAACTATTTTTTACTGATCATTACTACTTGTCTGTTTTTTCTTCATTTAAGATAAACTGCATTATACGTGCAGCACCCACTAAATGCAAAAAACCAGCTCGATAGAGAGGAAACCAGATGAGAAGAGAAAGAAAAAGGCCGAGATTGCAGCTTTTCTTCTTCTCCATTTATGACAAACAAAACATAAGCAACAGAAACAGAGAAAGAGAGAGAGAAAAAAATAACTATGACGGTATTATATAATGCTTTCAAGGCTCATCTGATTAAATAAAAAACTAATCAATATCATCAATCCTTTTTGCAGGTACGAAAATCAATTTCAGATGTTTTCAATTCGTCAATTTTCATATGCTTTTGTACAACGAATCTATTGTTCTTCTTCTAATCGTTATCAATCAAGCACAACAAACGATCTTGCGAATAATTCTTCATCAAATAATAACAAAAATTCATCAACTAATTCAACAACATGGGCTACATCAGATACAAATGGTTTAGTTAAACAATTATCCACAAGAATTAAATCTGGTGGACCTATCACAATAGCTGAATTTATGCGTGAATCATTATTAAATCCAAAATATGTGCGTTTGCTATTTAGTCTAATAGTTTTTTCTTGTCTTTCTTCTTATATTGCTTGTATTAAACCTAGTGAAAAAAATCTGGTTATTTTTATTATTGTTTCAGGGTTATTACACACGACATGAAGTGTTCGGAAAGAAAGGCGATTTTATCACAGCACCTGAAATTAGTCAAATGTTTGGCGAAGTATGATATAAACAATTTGAATTCTCTTGTTTTATTTTTTGACTTAAGTTATTAGCTGTATGGGTCATGTATGAACATTCAACAAATGGTAACAATCCTATGCAATTGGTAGAATTAGGACCTGGTCGAGGTACACTAATGAATGATATTATTCGAGTGAGGTTTTCTTTTTCTTCTAATTTTTCAAAGATAAAAGAAGAGAACGTCTAATGTTAAAGGTATTAAGAAAACGAAATTATTCTGATAAAAATACATTCATTGCTTTGTATGAAGCTAGTTCACTTATGCGACGACGTCAAGCTGAAACATTACTTGGTCAATCGGTAATTTAAACAAAAGAAAATTTAGGAAAATGTGACTGAAAATTGCTTTGTTTTTTCTTGTTTTCATCAGTTTGATCCAGTCATTACTAATGATTATCGAATACCTAATTGTAATTATTCACTTATATGGATAGATGATCTTAAACAATTACAGTCTTATAATACATATTTCATTGCTAATGAACTCTTTGATACTTATCCTATACATAAATTTCAAGTAAAAGGTTATCTATTACAAAAAAAAACAACATGAAATATAAATTTTTTCTTATAATCACAAAAGAAAACTTCACAAGGTTGGAAAGAAGTTGTGATTGATTGGAATCCAACAACAAAACAACTTCAATATGTATTGTCTCCAAGACAAACAACAATGAGTCGACTTTATCAAAATGTATAGTTGTTTATATTAATACAAATAAATATATCATATTTCTTCTATTAATTGACTTACTCGTTTTTTTTTTAGTTTCTTATTAATATAAAAGAGAGACAACACGTGGAAATCAGCCCACAACGTTCGGTAATGATGCAAAGTATATGTAAACATATAAAGACTCATGGTGGTTCGGCTTTGATAGGAGATTATGGTCATTGGGGAGAAAAGGAAGATACATTTCGTGTATGTATCTATTTTTAACGTTTCCTATTTTTATTAATAATATATACAAATACTCTTTCTATAGGGATTTCGTAAACATGAAGTAGTTGATGCACTTTCAGATCCAGGAAATATCGATATAACAGCAGATGTTGATTTTGAAGAATTAGCTTTAAGCGGTACACAAATATCCAACAGTAAGATATTGTTACAAGCTAGAAAAAATACATTGAGTTTGATGATCTCGTCAAAATAATATATACAGTATGTAAAAAAATTATTTGGTCACCTATCTTACCTATCTTATAAATCGAATTTCATCATGAAGAAAAAATATTTTCTTGACTTTCTTGATATCATTCGATAGCTCGGAATCTCTACTTCATTGCCCAAGCAAATAAAATTTAAAAACAACAAGATTTTCATAAGTTTTTGAGGGTTTTTAGGAAACCACTTGATTTCCCAGGCAAAAAAATTATTTGGACACGTACGATTTTTCTCGACAATTCCTATTTTTCGTCAAAATCTATTCAATTATACCTCATCTGATAGAGAAAACATTTCTCTATACGTTGGTATAACTTACAATTGAAAAAATATTGGTGAAACTTCAAAATCTCTCTAATATCTGAAGTACCATAGGTTGTACAGAAAACCTTAGGATTTCAGCCTGGAGAAAGTCAAAAGTCAACTCAAAATGTATCATTCGATAGAGAAAAAAAACTGAATTGAATGATATCTTTTATTTTTAGAAGTGTTGACAAAATCAGGTCTTAATTACTAATTATAATTAGCTTTTTGTACAGACCTTCCATTAGTCTCAATTTTTCATAAGAAAAATTACATTGAATATTTTTTTGAAAGATACATTCTTGTAGAGAATTAAATTCTCTACAAAATGATGTACTTGGTTGCATGATTCCTATTTTCTTTAAGGTAATTAAGATTTTATCTTTTCAAGTGCATTAGTTGGTGCAGGAAGAAAAAAAAGTTTTTGCTTATTGACTAACTGGACGTATATATAGTTGATGACAGAATGAAAAAAAAATTTTTTTTTTTCTTTCTGTACCAACTAATGCACTTGAAAAGATAAGGTCTTAACTACCTTAAGGACCATAGGAATTATGTAACCAAGTACATCATTTTGTAG